TTCAACAATCACAGTTCTCTGTATATTGGGCCTCCAGATGAAATGTAATTGGTGCTATTTGGTGGCACAAGAGATCCTCTTTGAATCTTCCTTACGACCATTTTAAGACGCCATGAAATGTATCCAATGCTGCTTGCTGCATCATAAAAGTGCTCCTAAAAAAAAAAAAAAAGAACAAAAATTAAATGCTAAATCACAGTTTTGAGTCACAAAATAAAAGGGCATGATTTGATTGTAGAAAAAAAAAACAAACAAAAAAAACATTACATTGCCTTTTTTGGTGTATGGATCCTTGAGGGATGGGAAGAGTGTCACTATTCCAAAGCCATACTTCTCTCTGATTGCTTTTGTCGGGAGGTGCCTAACAGCAGATTGTAAATTGGTGATTAAACCTTTTTTTCAATTATTGTACATAAATTAGTGTAAAAACAAACATACCTATGTTTATCAATCATGTCAGCCACCAGTATGTTCACCATTTGTCTTCTTGTGGCATCAGTTAGGGTTTCTGTAGTTTCATCCTCCTGCAGAATTTCTTCACCACAAGACTTGCTTTGTAGAACACTTTCAACCAGCTATAAAATGAACAATAAAAAAAAGAAAAAAGAAGAAAAAAGGAAATATGCAGATTACCAAAATATGACAAAACATGTCTGGGCATACAAAACAGAATTTAGAGGCAGACAAAAAATATTGTTACATTTTTAGTAGACACCGAGTTATCAGGATTCTCAGTTTTTTGCTTCTTGCGTGGCATCTCATCCATTAGTATTGTTGATGTTGATGCATTTGAGTTGAAGCTCGAGTCAGACTCAGAAGCAGATGGCCATTCTGAGAACTCTGACGAAAGAGACAATAGACATCAGTTACATTCTTTGGTGAAATCTGTATAACAGTTGATTTAATGTGCTGTGGTATCTCACCATCATAGCAGAAAACTGTCTGTACCACATTGCCTTGTCTAAGGAGGTCACTGAATATTTCTTCATCAACTTCAGTATCAATGACTGAAAAAAACGAGGCAAGATTTAGAGCCTAATTCTGTAATTAGCTGAATTTTTTAAAACTAAATTACTTGATATTAACTCAAAATTCTGCAGATCTTAATTTATAGGATATGGTAGAATAGGAGAGAAAAAAAGCTTTGTAAGTATTTATCCACTATTTACAAAGAACTTATTAAAGGTATTTGTAACAATCTTTTGATTTTTAACATGAACATTATTCACAATTATTTCAAGGGACTTGAACTCTCCCTTACCATTTGCATTCTCTCGAGATGAGATGCTTTGGCTTTTCTTTGTCTGTGTTTTATAACTGAGTAAACTCCAATCTATCAGTAGACTGTCGAGATTTTAAGTATTTCTCGAGCCTCTAAACTTTAACAAGTTTTTTCAGTTTTCATTTTACTATGTTCGTTTGTTCCTCTTTTTCGGTCTATGCTTCCCCCTGCAGGCAAATATGATCACTGCTTCAAATTTATTGATAATTCACAATTGACATCTATTGAGTGACAATGCATTAGTGTTCATTTTGAGGTTAACTTACACACAATTGGACATTGCAGAGTGATCTTAGGAAGCCTGTGTCTTTGTTCTTCCACTTCACATTTATTCACCTGACTTGTGTCTATCAAAATAAAATCCCAGTAAAACACCTTGAAGTTCAGGATTATAATGTGAAACCATTTCAAAAAGGCTCTTCCACATGGCCAGGTGAAATGAGTTGGATTCAAATGGCTGAAGTAAGATCCCTTGGTAAGGCTTGGAGATGGAGGGCAAGAGAAGTTGAGGAGCTCTGTTGTCTTTTTGGAACCGGTCATCCTTGAAGTGATGGGAAGTCCACCTTTTTCCAGAGGTCACAAAGCACCTCTCGACTTTGTGGATTTCAATAGAAGTTCCAGCTAGACCAGCAACATGGAGAGACTGCCTGTTCTTGCCTGCTACAACATTTGACTAAGTAAAACAAGGGTTATAGTGGAAACTTATGATACAGTGAGCTAAAATTCACATGAAAATAAATGCATATCTTTTTAAATAGTAGGTCCTAAGTTTTCAGTTGATTTTACATATGCTTAGTCTCAATATAATTTTTCCATAACGCAGCAAATTCATAGAAACAGAAGAAGCCTCTGACTGCAAATCAATTAGCTCCACCTGCTGGTGAAAAAAGAGATAATAGTTTGTAACGTCTTTAGTCAGAACACCAAGACTATCATTCATACTTGTTGTCTTTTTATATATCTTCTTCTAAACAGCACAATATTATTGTTATTCTATTTATTTTAGTTACTTTCCTCTCTCAACACACATTCTGGTAAACTACACTATGCCTTTTGCAGAAACGGGTTTCAACACTTTCAAAAATAAAGGAACATGTCAACAAAAAAAAATCCTTAAAAATTTTCAAGGTGTCGAGCAACTTGGATCCTCATTACCATGAGTAAAAGCACATGTACTGGAGAGCCAAAGGACAACCTATGAATTGTTAGTTAATAATTTATGTATATAGTTGCAAATGAATTTAGCAAGTAAATAAAAAAGATGTGTGGTTTCAATCAATTAACTTTGCTAATAATTAAATTAAATTGCTAATAATTAAATGTGGGCTAAACAAGCCCACATTTTAAAACATATGTGTGAAATTAATCCGTCCGTCCATTATCCTATTATACCCGGTGGAGTTGCGAGGGGTTCTGGTCTCTCTCTCCGGAGGCGGGTTATACCCTGGACAGGGTGCCAATCCATTGCAGGGCATGTGCAAAGTTGATTATTTTAAATTGGATTGGAAACCACATCCAATATTTTATGATATCTTTCATTATCTTGGTCCCTGAGCAGCAATGTGTCATAAAATATTGCTGTAGCTTGTCAAAAATAGCAAATAAAATCAGACAATGAAGACTGTATTACCTGAAAAGTAAGGTATTGTGTGTTGAAATTCACAAAACAAGGATGTAAGTAATATGAAAAAGCAAATTATAGTGCTATGAACTCCAACACTTCAGCATGTTTTTGTATCAGGAGAGAAATTTGCCGATATTCTGCTGAAAATTAACATTTACATATGATGCACATGGGAAGCCCTCTGATTCTGTGGTTAAAGTTAGCCGCTACGCCCCTTTTCATGCCAGCTGCATTCACAACAAAACAGTCTACGCTGGATTCATTCTGTGGTGCTTTTATGCACAACTCTGAAGATGCTTTCAAGTCTCTTTTTACAGTTGTACTTATTGTTAAAGGATTCCTCACTTTGGAGGAATATTAATATTTTTTTATTTAGCATATTGTAATTTGAACACATTTGGGACAAAAATTAAAATGAGTGAAACTGCTACAATAGTTAGTAAAGTTGTAGCACGACTATAACTTTGGCTTTTCAGCAATAATGGTTTTATTGTTAGTTCCCAATAACTAACTAATGTCTGCTTTGAATGACACATTTTATGCAAAATACAGCGACTATATTTATTAAAAAATTATCTTTATCATTTAGAAATAATCATGATGATCCTGACTAACCTAGAACCTAGAGTTTTTTGTTTTTATTCAATTCAATGTCAGAAACTAATAAAAATAATAAAAAAAAAGAGTTGATGTTTTATACAATTTGTGAACATACTGGAAAGGTGTTGGACCAAGAGAAAATGATTTAAAGGTTATCAGTGAATCCAATCCTTACTAACATATTATTACATATGAACCATATTAACATATTCAACTTCAAAAGGTTTAATATCAACATAGATATTTTATTTTGTAAATATATGATGAAACATAGCTGTAGGTTGTAGGCCATAGCAGCTTCTGTTGCTAGCATGAGTGAGACATCCAAGGACGTAACTTCCACTATAATTGCTTAAGATTTTAATCTCTTTACTTGTGGAAAGCGTTGAAAGTGTAACTGCAAGCTCTGCAAGTGAGGTAAACTGAATCACCACAGACACTCATCTTTTTTTTTTTTGGTTCCCTATTTAACAGGAGAAGCTGCGATGTGATCAGATCACGAGTATCTCAAGCTTCATCTGTCACATGACTCTGGCAGTTCAATTCTGTTTGTAGACACAAAAAATACATGAAGTCACATCATCGGTAACACATCCAAACTTTTATAGTTATTTTTGCAAATGAAAATGAAAGAAAAATAATCATGAGTAATTTACCAAATATAAATATTCTTCTGAAAGTTTATGACTTTTAACCTAGTTTGGATTTTCCATCAAATACATTTTTTTCGTTTTACTTTATTATGAAGTAATCATTTTTATATAGGATTACTGTTACAGCAGCTTTCTCCAGATTCTTGTTGTACTGTTTTGCTTGTTTTAAAATCTCCATTTACATGATTTCGCTTGTTATTGTCTGCAGCTGCATAGGTTGAGTATTTCCTCTTTATTAGTGGGTTTCCATCACGTCAAAGTCTTTGATGTTCATGATTAAGTCTTGCATGGCAGCTCCTTTACTGAGTTCACTCAGTAAAGAATCAAACATTTTGAGAAAAGAGAAACGTCTTTTTCACTCGGTGTTTTTCAGCTCTCCACCACACACTATCTTCACCTTTTTGTGGGAAATCTTGTCAGTGTTCCTGAATAGTTTTTTATCTTTTGCACCATGTGACACAGACTGAAGTGAGACTAACTTAGACTTACCTCATTTGGGTTTTGGCAAGTATCAGCAATTTGAGAACAATTTTCTCCTTGAGTTCACATCAATTTAATGTAGGTCTAAACAGTTGATTATGTTTTGGATTAATTGATTTATAAATGGATAGAAAAAGGTGCTTCACAGGAGATTCTTAGTATTCTTTTGTTATTTTTATAGAGTTTTTTGTATCTGTAGTGCAAAATGTAGACACAACAATACATATATATTTTGAGTTTATCACTGTTTTTCCAGCAAATGACAGTTTGAGTCTGATTACCACAGTTTCAAATCATCATGTAACAATTAATCAATGACAAAATCAATTGATAATTATTTGATTATTTTAAGGATCAATTCGTCTTGATTAATTGGATTAATCATCTCAGCTCTGATGATGGAAAGTTCAAAGTTTTTTAATACATGCTGTTGCAGTTTCTACTCATAAACTTCTCATATTTCAATTTACCATCTTGAGATAAGCGCAAACTTGAAAGCAACATATGTTGTAAACACATCAAACACTGTCTCATAGTTAGGTATTACGAGCTTTATCCCAGCCCTCTAGATCTGAATAAACTTTATGCTGAGGTAAAATGTCGTACTGTAAACATATCTTGCACAGCCTTTCCCTCCAGTCTGTATACACTTTCACCTTCCAGTGTTTTCTCCAGTTAAAATATTCCTCATATCGCTTCCTGTCTTCTGCAAGTCTTTGAAGATACTTTCCCAGTTCTTGTACTGATGAAAACTCATCAACATGGATAAAAGAATGTTCTGGAGCCACAGCTTTGTAGTCACCTATTGGGGGTCCAAGTACAACGGGTACAGCCCCTCCTTTGTAAGCATTGTGCCACAGCTTCTCAGTCACATAATCTTTTGCCAGAGTGTTCTCAAAAGCCAAGTAAAAGTAGCAGCGAGAGATTGTTGGTAAGAGATCTTCAGAGGAGAGCGGCATTTTATTCCAACGTCCATAAACCTTCACAGGAACCGTGGCATTGAGCTCTTTGTAGACTTGGGTTCTTCTGTGGTGGGTCCTGTAGTTGCTGACCACCCAGCAGACCAAAGACGTCTTGTTTATATGGCTGTCCTCCACCAGGTTATTTTCAGTCTCCAAAGGTAACATTTCACCAAAGGGTATGGTCACATCAGCGTCTCTCCTGTAGGAAATGGTCATGTTGAAGATATTTGCAAACTTCTTCAAGTTTCCGTTGTGAGCAGGAGACTCCAGTGACATCCAGGCCCATCTCTGGCCTTGTGGACGTGGGAGTTCAGTTGGAAGCTGCTGGCTTCCTTGTATCAGTTCTCTGTTGTGGAACACAACAATATGAGCCGAGGGGAAATAGGAGCTCTGATCCACCAGTGTACAGTTTGGTATTTTGTAAAGATCCCAGCACACATTTCCCTTTAGACTGTGTGTGCGTCCAAATGGCCACTTCCACAGCATGATGGTCACATTTGCAGTGTTTTTCCAGTAATTGTAGTTGTCTACTTCCCGCCATCCTTTGTGAAGACACAGCAATAAGCCACTGAAAATGCAGAAGACAAATCCTCTCTTCATGGAGCACCATTTCATCTTTTTTGGGTAAAGTTTCCCCTGTTGATAAAAAAAAAAAAAGAAACTGGTTATGATAGGTTAGACAGTGTTCTGATTTACTTGAGATTTGCTCTTGCAAATTGAAATATTGTTAATCTCCACCTATTTCTATTGATCTCATGTTCTTTTGATGTAAATATAATTCAATAAGAGCTGGACTGGAGACATGTACGCCTCCAGTCCACCTTCCTTTAAACGTGTGCAAGATGTGTTTAAAGGACACATGGGGGGCCCCCCCACACTTCCTCTGCTATTTCAGTACTGAACGACAGCCACCATTCTCCCTGCAACTCTGATATGGAGTAAGCTGGAGGCCTAAGTAAGTAAGTCTGTCTAAAGTGTATTCAAATTGGAAATTTCCTAGCGAAGAGTCTTGCTCTCAATCTGACAGAACAACTTTAGGATGAATTAAAGACTATAAGCCAGACCAGATTCGTATACTTAGTTTCAGAATGTCTTGTCAGGTTGTGAAAACCAGCAATGTGCAAACCCAAGCATTAAAGGTGTCATTGATTTTGACAGCCCAACTCCATTATGACTTCCTGCTTTATGTGCTGGTCGGGTTGGTACAACAGGATGCCGATTCATGAGATTCTTTTACTGTACTTGGTTGCAAGTTCACAGCTCCACCTATCACTTAGTTAATAGTATATGTGTTACATCTAAATGCAGATTATATCTCTATGTTTCAGTGACATACAATTTGAACTAAGAGTCTTTGTGGTTGGACTGAACTGCAGAGAAATGTGTGCATGTCAAGGTGTTTACTTTTCAGAGCTGCAAGCTGCCATATATGGAGCTGGGCACACACAGTAAGCACTGTATCTAGGTTCAGTGTACACAAGAGACGGTTAAATATAATGATGCCAAATATAGAAAATTGTTTGTGTGCCGTGTTCACACCAATGAAGAGGCAGAGTGACAGTAGCTCTGAGAGGAGTGGATAAGGGAGGGAAGGGGGGACTCTCAATGGCTCCAGATTCATCTGTAAATGTGGCTTGTTTAATAAATATGTTTATTTACCTCCGACTGTCAAACCGAGTCTTCACTGCACAGGCATAATTTAAACAATGCAACCCCAAGTCAATCCTCTTCAGACATTTAACTTAAACTGAAACAGTTTTATTGAACTAACTGCAACTCTAAGAGCTCCCCCATTTGGTATTTGTCCTCAAAAGTTAACATTATACATTTTCAGAGTCTTCTAAAATGGGAATATATTTTCATGTTTTTACCAATACATGGCCTGTCACTCAATTATGGTTGAACTTATTTGAATGCAGTGAAATACACTCAGATTTCTTTATTCTCTTGACGTATAAACTTACATTTATTAGCTTGCAGATTTAAATTGCTTCCTTTAAACCAGCTAAATATTTTTCTCGGTTCTGGTTCTGGTTCTTTTCGAAAGCTGAGACTATTGGAGAAACCGCACATTTATTTTAATTTTAGTTATAAATGGAATATTAAGGGCCTCTCTGGAGACACAATCTTGTCTCTGTTGAAGACAATAGTAGATGATATTTGGTACATTAATATTTTAACTGTATGATCTTTGCTTCAGTTCTGTTTGTCTTTTCGAATGGCAATTTGAAAACACCCCTTCCAGTTGAATACAGTAAGATTTACTGTACATATTTTCTTAGGATTAGACAACACACTAAAAGAAGCACTGTCATCTTCATAGGTGGCCATCTTTACCAAGACAACAACCGGACTTAGCAGATTTTCTATCACAGGATGAAATAAATGTTTTTTTTTTCCAACCCCAAATATATTCATTTTATTCCCAACATTACTGTTTTTGTAATCCATGCATTTTGTCAGATCATCCAACAAACCAATGACAAACTATGTACATCATTCAATTCTGCCCCAACATCCATCCCAAATGTAATGTATTTGAACATTTTAAGCAAAAGCATAAAATGTCACAGAAGATTGCTGCTGTATTTCCTTTTTTCTACAAAAGATGCAATGTGTTCTTTCCTTAGCATGAACTGTAAAACTAACTCAGAACAGGATGTGGTGAAAGTTTTACTTTCTCAAGGCTAAAAGCTCATAATCTAACATTTCACATGTACAGTTTATAAACATGTCACAGACAAGATTAGTTTAATGTGTAAACTTATGCTACTCGTCCCATGTTGTCAAAGAAATTGAAATAAGAAAAAAAGATAAATATGAGGAAGCAATAAACACCATTAGACATCGTGCACTGACCAAAATAACACACGAGAGAGAGTACTTCACAAGCTTCAACCACTAACCTGATAAGAAGCGGACCTGAGTAATCATCAGCCGACACCAAACCCAGTTCTTGGTTGCTGTTGGTTGTGAAACACCACAGAGTTTCAGCTGCATAAATACCCCCACCCTTTTAAGGAAACTGACGAGCAGTGATCTCTTCTTTGCATCACTTCTGCCACCACAATACGTCTACATTTTAATCGAGCTTTTCTTTGTAATGACAGCGATTTCTGTTCAGCTGTTTTCTCCTCATTGTTGTCAACAACAGCCGTCTTTCTTGTGAGAGCAGAAGTCTTCTGTAGTAATGGAGAAAGAGGAAGTGTAAAATGTGATTTACAGAAGAGACCTCATTTACACATGGGGCGTTTGAATGACTCTTACACAGATCTTTCCTTCCCTTTATCAATTGTCTTTGCCATTGTATTTTGAGAACTTCAAGTCGAGTCCAGTGGAATTTTCCCCAAGTGGACTTTGCTGTTATTTGGAAATTTAAAATAATTACTGGTGCAGTCTTTCAAGAGAGATCTCTGTCGATTTCTATTAAAAAGAAACTTTCAGAAGCTCAGCAGGCAGCAGCTTTTATTGTCTTACACTTATCTTTATAATAAATTTCACAGGGTAACAACATGGCCACATGAGCAGACATGTGTATATAGATACATATTGTGCTGCTCCTAAGTTCAAATAGACTTACGGTGGACATGAATGTTGTTGATAGAACTATTGTATATTCATATTGATACATCCATTATTTGTACCCACTTATTCTTCCAGAGACTTAGGGATGGAGTTCGGGGGTGGATCAAGGAGGTCACAAAAAACTTAGAACACTGGCTAAGCCACTAATATGCAGCCTGACCTTACTTGCCTTGGTTATGGCCAGTGTTTCTAATTCAGCATTTGAAAAGACTAGACCAAAATAGCTGCCATTTGGATTTGGTTTAATGCAGTTTAAAACAGTTCAAGATCAACCGTATCAGCCACAAATCCACGTCAACAAGAATTATTATAACAGGTGAAGTACTTGACGAGCTGAATCTGACTAAAAAAGGCAATACTATTTGAAAAACCCAAAAATGAACTTGAGCAAAAATATATTTAGAGGTTTTTATTTATTCTGCGGAATAGATTAGCCGGAAATAGGCGTGTGTGAGAAAAGGAGCAGGAGTTAAATTTACGTTCGTGTACAAGGAAACAGGCACTGCCAACTGAAACAGGATGTAACCACAAACTTGAACAAAGAAGCATAACATAAAAACCCTAAACAACTGACTAAGAGTAAGTAACAAAAATACAAACATGAACCTAAATTGAACTAAAAAATATATGTCATACAAAAAGCAGTATGAGGGCTCATAATAGCAATCTGCAGAATATTCAGATTGTTGGAGCTTTACAGATCATTTAAGATATGTTAAATATCCTTAACCCATCAAAACTTCTGTTAAGTAATACTTAAACCTTCCCAATAAAAAACAAAATGTAAAAAGGTTATTCAGTTAATGTCTGGGGAAGTCAGAGCCATGTGTATAATTTTTTTTATGCTGCTGTAGATACACAACTGCTTCTAGCTTCAAAAACTGCACAATCATGATCATGTTGACAAGGTAACTTCGTCTTTGTGTCTAATGGTATTTGCCGAAGCATAATTTATATAAATAACCACTGACTGGATAAAACTAAGAGGTCAGCAATGAGGAAAAATATTGGACTCAATAAGACTTTCTGTATTTGTGCAACCTGCTCAATATTTGAAATACCTTCACATTCACCAGGCCAAATATGATTATCTGAAACTTTGCCATGCTTTGTCGTTGCTTTAATATGAAAAAGCCTCTAGATGGAGACATTTTTCTCCAGAGTTTTTCTGCATGAAAATGTGAAATGACGTATTCTGAGTGGGGAAGTCGTGCATCTGCTGGTGAAACCAAAGGTTTTCTGTCAGGATGGTATGTAATATAAAGTTAAAACAAATTAACATATTTATTTGTGCCTTTTTTAACATCTCTATTTTTTTCAATTATTACCACAAATAACTTACAGAAAAAAATATGTAAACATGACTACCAACCAGGACACTTTCAGAAATGTGCACACAGCATGGTAAGTTTTTTCTTCTTCTGTTTTTTTTTTAAACCTGTCTAACTTTGACCTGCATGCCTGTTCCAGCTAGACTTCCTGTGTCTCATTTCTTTTCTGTAGCTTAATGCTGTTTTTGACCTATTGCCTACATTTCTCAGCATTTGTTACTTTTTTGCCTTTTTTTAATGACTTATTACGCTATAAGTTTTATTTTTTTTTAAATTTATTTTTACCTTCATTGTTTATTGAGGGGTTCCGCACACAGCAGGAGCATCTAGAAATATTCTTCCAATAGTAGACCCAAAAGTGACAAGTGAATTCTCCAACACTGGATATTAGAAAAACATGTGTAGGTCACAAGACATATTACTATACCAAATGGAATATCTCCTCCAACCCAATCTGTGACTGCCGAAAGTGAAATGATTGTTGCTTTAACAAAGTATTAGTCAAGCAGACTACATACAAGTGTATCCAGATATTTGCAACTTATGAATAATTTTCACCCATAACATGTTTCTGTGCTTTGTGTTTGAATTGTATTGAATATATATCTCAACAGGATTGGAAAAAGATTTTGAATAGTTTATTAAGTCTGTTTTCAATACATCACAAAAAATGACATTTTGAAGTGATATGAATTCACATGTGAGAGCCACTTAAACCGTTTATTTCTTTGCATAAATTATTATAACTTTTCAGTAGTTCAATTTTTTATAAGCCTTTCTGACTGACTTAGCACATTTTGTTTCATTATTGCCATGTGTTTTTTGGTTCCTTTAAAATGTGACTGGACTGAAAGAGTGAGTTACATATTGAGTATTGCACCATCTGCTGTTGTAAGAACCAAAACTCTTCCTCTGATACTTTTGCAACCACAGCAAACATGTAGATATTTATGTCCCTATAGCCTTGTCTTGTTCTTAGCTGCGTTTTAAGCTTATCTGTTTTTGTTACAGCAGTGATAACATTTTAAGGAAATAAATTTCTCCTCACTCTTTATTTGATTGATTTTTTTACACCCATTTTATTGTGTGTAAACTCATATTAAGGATATGGAAACCTTCATTAACTGTTCTGTTATGTCAATAACTCTGTTGTATTAATTGCATAGCATAATTAAATTCAGATTAATATTTTCAAAGTTTGTTGTGTAATTTTTTGTTTTATTTATTCCAGTATTATTTGGAATGAATATCTGAATGTCTGAATGTTGCTAAACTATTTACATCCTGAAAGAAAAAACTTCTGATTTCTGACAACTTTCTAGTCAAGTGTAGTCAAAGTTTAATTATGTAGCACACTTACAATAATCTCAGCTGACCAAAGTGCTTCACAATAATGAAGTTTGCTAAAAATATCATGACATGAACAAATAGAAATTATACTCAAAACTCTTTTAGTTGTTTGTTTCAAAATGTTTTTGCCTGCTGGTAAAAAATAAATAAAAATGAAAACATTTCTAATGTAGATGGTGAATCAGAATGTGTTTATGTCTTAATGAAAAACTTCAGTGTGTTAAGGTTTTAGTTGTGAATCCCATAAAGAAAGCAAAAATGAAAGAAATTACCTAGCTATTTGAAATTGTTTCAGTGAAAGTATTTTCAATGCATGAGGCAAGGCAAGAATAGGTTTTCTGTGAAGCACATTTCAGCAACAAGGCAATTCAAAATGCTTTACATCACATGTGTCAAACTCAGTGATTACTTAATTTTTGTTTTTATTTATCTAAGGAAAGTCAGGGCACACCCACTCAGTCTATGCATCTACTCATCCTTCAAATTGTCAAGGTGTGTGTGTTGGAGGACAGACCAAAACTGAGACAGGAGCTGGAAGTGTTAATCATTGTGAAAATATTTTAATGACATAAAAAAGAAACAACTAACAAAAATCAAAAGAAGCGAGCAAGCAGAGTGATGCGAGGAGAACATAGGAAAGTGACGGGAGAAGATGAGAGGATCCGGCAAGGAGTGACTAAGAATGAGAAGCTTAAATACTAGGGAGGTTGAATCCTGAACAAAAGACTTGGGCTGATGAGCTATGTGACTGCAGGTATGAATGGAAAAAACAGGAGGGAGACAAGGGCAGTCTGAAAACCAGACTGAATGACATCAAAACAGTTGGACATACTTATGTAACTATTTCAGTGTTGAAATAATGATGTATGGTATACATCATTATTTCAACACTGAAATAGTATACATTGTATACTGAACAAATAGGCCCTTTGAGATTAACATGTTTTCAAAAACATAGAGGTTGTGGTTGATTTCTCCCCTCAGAGACATTTTGGGCTTCCTCATTAAGAATGAAAAGCAGGAAGTGTTTTGCTGTGTTTCATTCAAGGACAACACCTTTCTGAAAGATCTGAAACAAAAACACACATTTTATTTTACAGAAACCTGCAGAGTTCGTTCCTTCAACGTGTGAATTCCTCAGCTAAAAGTCACAGATGAATGACAACTGCGCACGAACACACCCTCTTCACTAGTGACACATACCTGTGACGTAGACAGGACGAACCACCCTCTTCACTAGTGACACATACCTGTGAAGCTTAAAGTATACCGACTGTGAGTTTCCTGGTTTTGGATCTTCTTAGCTTGCATCCTTGTTTTTCTTTGTGTAGCTTTACTTTTTTTTTTTTTTTTTCGCCTCCTGACAAGAGATGCTTCCTCAGGTAAATGCTTAAAACATGACACCACATTTTTAGCCAGCTTCCAAGGACCAAAGCTGAAAGATGGTATTTGGGCTAAAGACAGGATAAAAAAAAGTCAACAAGGAAGAATGAAGAAACAGAGCCACAAAAAACAGGAAAGAGATACAGAAGGAGAGAGAAAAAGAAAGGTGGAGACATGCAAAAGCACAGCTTCAGGGTTGGTGCTTTTATCCAAAACATAAAAGAAAAGTGTTGTTGTGAAGGAGTCATTCACAATGCCTTGCAAATGTGTTCATATCTTTTGTTTTTCCCCATTTTGTCACACTGTAACCACAAACTACTTTTTTTTTTGCAACAGTGCGATTGTCTATAAATCTTAACTAATTTTTTAAACCTTTAAGGCATACACCTTTGTGAGCTGAGCTGTAGAATCAAGTATGTTAGCTGCACCCTTGAAAAACTGGTCAAATTTTCTTCACTACTGACCAAACCCAAAAGAAACCAGAAATAAAAGAAAAGAA